AGTGTATTTTTACTCTTCCAGGGTATTTGAGTTCAATTACTGACACCACATGAGGTGGCTCACAATTGCATGAGGACCCAACACCTCTGGCCTCTGATGGAATGACACACACACACACCACACTTAAAATGTTTGAAAAATATTTTTCCTGTGTGTATGCCTGCTTGTCTGCAGGAATGTATACAGTGCTTGCAGAGGCCAGAAGAGGGTGTTAGATCCCTTGGAACTGGTGTTACAGATGGTTGTTGTGACTTGCCATGTGGGTGCTGGAAACCAAACCTGGGTCCTAGAACAAGCAGTCAGTGCTCTTAACCACTGAGTGATCTCTCCATCCCCAGGATTAATATGAAAGGCTGTTTTTTTGGGATCTAGACTACTTGCAATGGCAGTTTTGAGTTCTGAAGCAGTGACTTTAGGAATTGTACCCAGAAAGGGGGCAATAGCCTCTTTGCCAGGCATCACTTTAGTGGATTGCTTTTTAGATCTGTCAATCCAAGAGGAGGTACCTAGTGAATGAAATAGCACCAAGAGTTACATTGTTCAGAGCCCTTCTGCTTGCTTAACCAAGATACACCCACAGCAACTAAGGCACTGGCTGAAGCCACACCATTCAAAGGAGTTGGCTTTGAACTCAGTCTCTGTCACTTAACTGAGTGGTTCTGTGTGTGAATGATTTAACAGCCGAGTCTTAGTTCCTCAATTGTTAAGTCAGAAAAAACCAGCACTTGCCTTATAGATTTACTGTCAGGGTTAACAAGAGAAATGTTTAAAATACTAAGCACTCATCAGGCTCACTGCTCAATAGTAGGTCTCCCCCCCTCCCCCCCAGACAGGGTTTCTCTGGGTAGCCTTAACTGTCCTCAAACTCACTCTGTAGACCAGACTGGCCTCAAACTTAGAGATTCACACCTGCCTCTGTTTCCAAAGTGCTGGGATTAAAGTCATCCACCACTACCACCTGCCTCAAAAGTAGATCCTGGTGGCATGTTTAGTGCCAGGACTACAAAGGACAGCTCTCCAGCCATGAGGGTTCAGGCCTCCAACAGGCCAGGGACTCTGCCCCACTGAAGCACAGGCTAAGGCCAGCAGGAGCACAGATGCAGAATGAAGAACTGTCTTGATATCATGTTTTCACCCACATGCCTGCATGTTCTACAGTGACTGTGGATGGTAGTCTCTAGAATGAGCAGTATACATCTAAGGTTGTAATTTTAAAAGGATCACCATTGTCCAGAGCAGAATGGATAGCCTTTAAGAACTACATGTCTGTTCTTTCGAGCCAGCTTGAGCACATTTTCCTTGCAGCTGCTTCTTGTTTGAAGTTGCTGGCAGCAGCTGTTGTTGGACAGATGTCTCTGTGCGGAACGAAGAGCATAGCAGATGCTGTCACCCCAGGAGGGGACCAGGCCAGGTGCTATCTGGTGAGCCTGTTTCATACCCGTTCTTTCTGCTCCATTTTGTTCTGCTGGGGAATCAGAGCCTGCAAAGTGTTCTTTGGGCTATCTCAGCAGCCAGCCTTCCATTAGGTCTTGTCCACTGGGGACACAGTGTGGAAGATGAGGTAAGAGGGCTGGGGAGATGGCTTAGTGGTTAAAAGCACTGGCTGCTCTTCCAGAGGACCCTGAGTCAATTCCCAGCACCCGCATGGCAGCTCACAACTGTCTGTAATCCAGTTCCAGGGCATCTGACACCCTCACACAGGCATACGTGCAGGCCAAACACCAATGCACACGTGTACACACACACACACATTTAAAAAAAAAAAAAGAGGGAGAAGTGCCTGGTCTGACTCACATCGCAGCAATCATGGTGGCTGCCAAGTGGCATCTGGCAGTGACAGGACACTGTCCCCTTTGTGTAATCTGGCATCCAGGTCTCAAACAAACTTACTTTGAACAATACTCATTTGCGCATTCACCCTTAGAGCAGGGAGTTGACCGGGCCCAGGTAGGCAGAGAGGCCTGGCTGGGCTATCCACAAAGCTTTGCTCACTCACTCACTCACTCACTCACCTGCCACATCAGATACACTGGGCTCTCTAAACAGTGGCCTGTGCCTCCTCGAGACACGGCAGCCTGAGGTTGAGTAGTGTTTAGAGAGCCAAGTGGAAGCTGTGCTGTCTGTGACGGGCTGGCCTCTTAAATCACATGAAGATCTTGTTCATTTCATTCTATCTGTTAGAAGTAGTCACTAACACCAGCTCATATTCAAGGAAGAATTCAATTCCGCCCACTGGTGGGAGGAGGGCCAACATTTATGAACATTTTGAAACCACCAGAGTCAGTAACTGTAGCAACACAGCAGCAGGTATGGGCCTGTTGGTTCCAGCCCAGGGGTGCCAGCAGCTTCCTTGCCTTCTGCATGCCACCGCTCTCCCACTCTAAAATACTATCTCTTTTCTTTACTGGCCCCTCCAATGTTTGGGAACTATGTCAAACTCTTTCTATCTGATATACCTAGGAAGTATTTTCTCTTCTCCAAAAAACTCTGACAGATACATCTGGTTTTATCTGTGGTTATGTTATCCAAACTCACCATCTGAACATACTAGCAGACGCTTGAAGAAATACTGTGTGATACGAAACATGTTAGGTGCTTTATGGATGCCATCTCGTTTAAGCCTGACACCAACCTGGTCATACTGGTATGAGGCTGACAATATTGTGGACACAAAAAACTGAGGCTCTTCAGGTGGAAGAGCCAGGATACAGGTGTTTATAGGTGGAGCTGGACCTATCTCAGGTATTCTGGGTTGAGAAGGGACACTTTAGTTTTCATCCTCATATACCTGCTTGATGAGTTCCAACTGAGACCTAAATCTGCTTCTAGGAAAACACACAGGAACAGGCTAGAGTCCAGGGCAGGAGGAAGGGAAGGCTCACGTGTTCATGTCTTGTAAACCTGTGGGTTGCATGGGAAAAGGCAGGGGACAGAAGACCAGAGACCAGGGCCGGCGTCCCAGCTGTTACTTAGCTGGGCCATGACCCTAGGCTGCATCTTCCTCTCAGGAGACCTCAGTTCCACATCTGGAAAGAGAACCTGAATTCCAAGCTCTACTGAGTGCACAGGTTTCTGTGGGACAGAAGGTGCAAGAGCTCAAGAAGAGGATGTGGACTAGCCTGAGGGGGGTTCCCACTGTGTCTTATAAACAGCAGGGATCATATTAGCTTCCTATGGGAGAAAAATCATGATACAAAGAGATAATGACAGTGACCACCATTGAAAGAAAAAGGTGGGCTTACAGTGCAAACATGAGCCCCAGAGATCACCTGAAGGAAGTGTGTACTGCCATCCCCATTTTAGGGGAAACCACTGTTCACAGAGACTAAACAACTTTCCTCAAGTCTTATATAGTTGGTAGTGAAGCTTTGTTCAACAGAGTTTACTCATATGCTAAGTATGCCCGTTAATTTTGTCAACCTGACACAAGCCAAAGCCATCTGGGAAGAGAAAACCCCGATTGAGAAGGTGCCTTCATCAAAGTAGCCTGTAGGCAAGTCTGGGGGATATTTTCATGATTGATGATACGATGGGCAATCTCTGTGGGCAGTGTCACCTGTGGGCAGGCAGTCCTGGTGCTATGGCTGAGTAAGCCATGGGGAGCAAGACAGGAAGCAGCTCTCCTCCAATGCCCCTGCTTCAGTTCCTGTTGACTTCCCTGGATGATAAGACTAAGCTGCAAGCTGAAATAAACCCTTTCCTCCCCAAGTTGGTTTGATCATGGTCTTTTAGCTCAGCAATAGAAAGTCAAGCTAGGACATTAAAAGTGTATGCCATGAAGCTTCTCTAATTTAGGTCAGAGTGGGACAAATTCTAAGGTGGAAAACCTACACTATCAGAAATCACAACAGAATGGAAGGGTCAGCACTGAAGTGCTAGGCAATGGAAACAGTATGAGGTGGACAGGGGACTCGGGTTTGACGAACAGATAAGCCACCTGTGGTGGATGATTAGCTGCTTGCTGGTGTCTCTTTTCTTTTCCTGCCATCCGAGCCTGGGAGGAAGCTGCCTCCCGTAGTAAGGTAAGCAGCTCAGGGATGAACTCATCATCTGTTAGTACTGTTAGACCAGTACTAACAGACAGAGTATTGTAGGGCTCTTGGAAAGTCAGCCCTCCTCTACCTTTTACAGGATGGCCTTGAACTCATGATCCCCTGGCTCCAGCCTCCTGGGACAACAGCCTAATGTCACCACAACTGGCTGGTAATCTGCTTTTCTGAGAGAGCTTTCAAAGAATCTTAGTCTTCCCAGATGGAAGTCTCCTAATTAAGTGGGGAGCAGCCTTAGTGGGTTCCGACATGACAGAGGGCAGAGACATGAGAGGAAAGCAGGGTCAATCAGTCTGTTCTGTCTTGCTGGGTTCCTGGTGCCCAAAAATGTCTCACTACAGCAGGGCAGAGTTAGTAAAGGGTTGTCTTCGGCTCTACACCCAAAAGTCACCTGGTACATACTTTCATGGAGAATAAATACAGATGTAGAAAAAACTAAACCTAATCCAGAAAACTAATGAGACAACTGAGCCCTCGATGGCAAAAAATACCAAAGAAGGGGCTGGAAAGATGGATCAGTGGCTAAGAGTCCTAGCTGCTCTTGCAGAGGACCCAAGTTCTGTTCCTAGCACCCACATGGTTCACAACTTTGTAACTCTAGTGCAGAAATATGACCCCCCTCTCTTCTGGCTTCTGCAGGTACTGCACACACTGTGTAAATGTTCACATAAAACCAAACCAAAACAAACAAAAAACCCCATGGAGTGAATGGGGCGCGGGGCACTAGGAAGAGCCCAGCTTATGCAGCTTAGTCTTTTTAGGCTGCATGTTCAAAAGCCTAGTGATGATTGTCATGACCCAGAATCTGTGTCCAAAAAGTCACAACCCCTTCCCCCACAAAATGCCCTCTCAACTCTGTACATAGGACTTTTACTGTGATGCAAAGTCCTTTTACATGCTTGAGTTAGTGTCTGACATGTAAATTAAACCAAAACACCAAGCACAGCCAGGCATAGTGGCACATGCCTTTAATATCGGCACTCAGGAGGTAGAGACAGATGGATCTTGGTGAGTTTGAGGCTAGCCAGGGTTATAAAGTGAGACCTTGCCTAAAAGCAAAATATATAACAGAAATAAACCCTACCAAGTATGAAGCAAACCTTGGTCTCAATTTCAAGCAGCCAGCCAGAGTGATAAACAAAGCTCCATCAAAAAGCACGGAGCCATTTATTCAAAATCTACACACAACACAAACACCAGCAAGTCAGGGTGCTTTTGTCAACCACCCTTTCCACATTTTGTTCAGTTTCCGTGAACTATAAATCACCGACTTCTTCACACCTGCAGGAGAAAAGCAGTACGGGTTAGAAAATGCATCCTGTTGAGTGGACATGTAGCTAGAATGCCAGTGTCACTCTGACTGGAGGCTGGTCTTTGCGATGGGGCTATGATGGGCTGACTGGGCGTTCCTGAGGACCTGTAACCGAGACTCTGAGCTGGGCCTCTGCTGCACATACCATGCTGCTCTTGGAACTAGACTTCCCGGGATGGCAAGTCTTTGAGTTGTGGGGGTACGGGCAGCCACTGAGTTTCACAAGTCTTTTAGAAGGGAGGAGTACCTGCACCCCAGCCACTGCAGCTTGCCGCTTCTGTGAGCCACACTGCCTACTGCCTGCCTACATACAACAAATGCTATTCTATTTCCTGCTTAGTGCACACGCCAGGTTGCTCTTACGTCCGGTGCCCCTCTCTCACACAGCATTTACCACACTGTACATTGTTTGTAGCTGACAGACACCAACCCCCCTCCCCCAACCCAGTCTCTCTGACTAGACCGACAGCTCCTCCAGGACAGTTCTAGTCACTCCTGTATCCTTTTCACCTGGTATAGTACCTGGTGAATAGCAGTACCAGCAACACATAGCAGGTACTCAGCTGAGTCTTCTGAAGTGGCAGAGGGAAGGCTGGCCCTCACAGCTTTTTGACATCATCCCAACAACAAGACCCCAGAGAAGAGGCTTGCTGGGACTGATGGTAAACACACACAATGGGATAAATGGTATGCTAGCATTCTCCAGTCCTGCCAGTGGATATTATTACGGGTCTGACTTCCTTGTGTTGAGGGTGAGGTCGCTCAGTGCTTTAGGGTGCGGCCTGAGGAGCTGAAGCCTTTTTCTCTTTGCGTTGTACACTGTGATCTGTGCTGTGGGCTTAGTGAATATGTTGGCAAGGGGACAAAATTCATTCCAGGGAGTGATCTTTTAAACTACCTGGCCCTGTTACTTGGAAGCTGCCTCGCCTGCTTGGAACCTTTGGCTACTGCAGGCGGTGACAAAGAGAAAGGCAGGGTTCCCAAAATCATTAGTGATGAGTCTGGATGTGGGCTCCTGGCTTGACATGATCTCGTTGAGAAACTCAGAGCTTTTTCACTGCCTCCGCCCCTCTTAATTTTCTCCCTGGAGCAATAACTCTGGCCAGCCTCACCCACCTGAACACTAGGGCTGGAAGATCATTACATAAGGTGCTGTTTCAAATCCCAGCAGAACCAACCAGAAGCCTGAGCGGAAGCCAGGCAGTCACACATGCAAGAGTAAGAGCAGCAAGCCCAGGCTGCTGAGTCATGGCTGGAGGCCTTCAGAAAGCTTAGGGACCAGCTTAGGAGCTCCCTAGAGCTGGAATAGCAGGTAAATACTGAACATAGCTGAGTGCCACCTTCAGCTGCTTAGAGGATTAAAGGCCTCCCTTGACTGAACACACTCCCCTCCTTTAGCTCTGTCAGAAAGACTGTACGAGGGAATTGGGCTACAAACAACACAGAGGCCCAGCTGGACTAGGATGGGAGTGATGGTGACGCCTCCAGTTTCTCATCTGTAAGATGCTATGCTAGGTAAGATGCTATGCTATGCTGGGTAACACAGGGTTTGTCCACAGTCAGGCTTGGCTGTGAATCTGAGCTCCCTAAAGCTGCAGAAGGGTTTGCACTGCACCATTTATGTGCACTTCCATGCAGAGGGGCCAGAAGTTAGAGGGCTCTGTCTACAGCCACACCACCCTGAAGGCACTCAGTCCTGCTAGGTTTTCACAGTATCTGAGGTTTGTACAAGGCTAAGAACAAACATTAATTTCAAAAGAGACTTTAAAAATCTAAACCAACAATTTCATAAAATTCAAACAGGCAAAGCATTCTTCAAAGGACAGCAAAGGCTGCGAAGCACAGAGAACAGATGGGTGAACCTGACTGGGAAAGTGAAAAGCCCCACGAAGAATCTATGGAGAGGGCAGAGCGGAATTCCACGGTGGAGTTGTCTATATTACTCACATCCAACAGGTCTGGGGTCTAGAGGCTGCCATAACTGAGATATAAGCTCAGTGCTCAGCATGCAAGGGGCCCTGGTCTAATAAACAAAGATAGGCAGAAGTGGGGGGGACCCATCTAGTTCACACAGTCAATTCAGAAAGAAAAAGTATCAACAAGAAGGGGCCTTTAGTCCATGAAATTCTCCAGTAAACACTCTAAGGTAGGGGTGTGACTCAGCTGTTGAAGGCTCTAACCTGCAATTCTACATTCACACCTTCAAGGAGGTCAGTGAGCCTCCAGTACTTGCAGTGAGCTTCCAAATGAAGACCTACTGGCAAGGGAAAGGTTGCCTGGGGCAGAGCTGCAACTCAGTCTGACAAGTTTTAGACTCAGCTGGCGTGGCGGTGCACATCTACAATACTACAACTCAGAGACCAAAGCTGAAAGAGCTCAGGTATAGAGACCCTGCTGGAAGGGAAGGAGTGAGGGATGGAGGGAGGATAGGTGTTCAGGGTTAAGTGATAAACACATCATTAGAAAGATGATGTAAGAAGAAAATAATGATCGGCTCCACTGTGTTTCAGCAAAGGGCTGAGAAGCAATGAGGCATGCTGGGATATTTTTTTAGGGACAAGATTAAACCTGTTTTGTTAATTCAGCTGAATCTTTTGAAGTGGGAGAGGGATCTGCCCTTAGAGTTAATTCTGATTGGCCATAAAGACAGGTGAGGAAAACGAGAAGACAGCCACCCCAGCCCCAGCCCCTCAGAGGGTGGCCCCACTACCTCCCTCCGCTCATGTGTCCCAGACACTCCATTCTGGGCTCTTGTCTGTGCTGCCCTAGACTGGGCTCCAGCTACAGGGGTCTCTCTGGCAACAGCTCTCCCCTCTCCACCTGCTGCTGCTGTAGTCTTCTTACACCCACCAGTGGCTTCCCTCTGCCCTCAAGGAAGCTCTATGTTCCTGAAAGCTGACTGCAGCCTTGGGGCCATCTTTTTTGGGGCTCTGGCCTCTTTCTTAGGCTGAAGGAACACGATATTTCTGTATTCAAACTACAACGACTGTGTCTGATGATAAAAAGGCAAGCCGTGAAAACAGAGTGGTCAGGCTGCAACACCACACTGGACATGTTTCCCAGCACTATCTGAGGGGCTGGTTATAGATGTCACAAGGAGCAAGGCCAGGAGAACTGCAGGGCTCATCATTTTCTACAGTTTCCATAGTTTGTGGACTCCCACAGTGCCATGTGGGCTCCTTGGAAAGGAAGGTGGAGCAAGTCATTGTTCAGGGAAAGCAGGGCAGTGCTCCAGGACCTGGAGGGAACCTGGGTGGCAGGTTCTGCTAGCACTGCCCTCTGCTGGCAGACAGGAGGAATCAGTGGAAAGAGGACTGGGCCTGGCTCAGGTTGGAGGTTACCAGGAGGTAGGGCTGGGTGGGATTCACACTGACTTTTTTGATCCTGTCCAATCTTTACTATTCAAACAGGAGAAGTAATTTTAGGTTCTTTTGGTGTGTCAAATGATAATTCAGTTTTACATAGGCTGCTTTTCTTAGTAAGACATTGATTGCTACAACTGAGGTTATTTTTACTAAATTCAAGCACATAATAGACCTTCAGCTTCTCCATTGTTTGGGCCCACAGTGCCAAAAAATTTTAAGTGACAAACAGTTTAGTTCTACCCCACTGCTTATGTGTGTGGAACAGTAAAGCTTCTCACTGGCCAAAGAAGTCCAGTGAAGAAAACAGCTTGGTTCTTCTAAAACTCCCCAGCTCCAACATACTCACACACAAACTGAAGTTAACAGGCAGAAATTTCAGCTTTCAGCAGCTAAGGCATCAGGCTACACCACCTCCGGGGAGAGGGTACAGGGTGAAAGGTCACTCGGGTTGGGAGCTACTTCTGTTCCATTTCCATTAACACGTGTGTCTGTCTCCCTTTCTGGCTTAGGAGGCAAGATGGCCAATGCCCACTTTCATATCCTGAGCAGCCAGCACAGTACAGATGCTTAATGTATGGGTCTCTGAACAAAGATGATGATGTCAAGTGTTAGAAACCAGGGGAGAAACAAGATTTCCCATACCCTACTCATCAACAGAGCCATTTTGAAGAGCAATTAGGTAATATCTAAGGATATATTTAACAAAAATGCTGGAAATAAAAAAACAAAACAAAACAAAACACAAAGGAGCAGGGGCCAGGAAAATCACTCAGTGGGAAAGAGCCTGTAGTGTGTGACACCCAATACCCCCTACACACAGACAGACCTGTAGGATCAGAATTGAAGTTGAGAAAACCTCCCAGAGAGCAGAAGAAAAAGACCACAAGGCTAACACATGGGAGACAAAAAGAGAGCAACCTCTGGTCTAGGAGCCCAGCATCTGGATAAAGGACTTCAGAAAGACAACTGAGAAAACAAATGGGGAATGAGAGACTATCCCGGGTTTCCCCACTGAGAGAGTGGCCAGGAAGAGATCAAAACAATCACATCACAGCATGCCATTCCAGAGCCCCGAGCTTCCAGAAAGAACACACACGATGGATTAAGGAGCAGGATGGCTTTGAACTTCAACAGTAGTCTGGAAAGTGAGAGAATAATTGCAGTAATTACTTCAAAACCGAGTCTCTCCCTCTCTTCTTTGTTTTGCTCATAGAGTCTTTCTATGTTGACAAGGATGGCTGTGAGTTCCTGGGTGCTGGGATTATGGTGTGTACCACCAGACCCAGTGACCTCAAGGTTTGAAGGAAAAATATTCTCTATCTGGCCTAAATGCTAACTACATGTAAGGACAGAGAAAAAAAAAAAGGTTTCAAACAGTCTCTAAACTCATTCTTTTTCAGGAGACTGCTCATCAAAAGGACACTGTGCACCAAGAGTGAAAGGCACAGACAAAGGGGAGAAGACAAGAGTCCCCACAGGGCAGCTGAGGAGGAAAAGCACACCACGAGCCTCCTTCTCAGTGTTAAACCTGCAATAATGACTTAGCCCAAACTGCAAGTATAGAGTAGTACTGAGACAGGAGCGGGGATGTGAGTAGGTGGGCCTGACAGGAGGACAGCCACAGAAGGCAGGATGGGATTGGTTGGCCCAAGCACTGTCTTCTCATCACCCATGGGAGATGGCACCTAAAGCAGAAGAGCAGAGGAATGGCAACACAAATCCATTACTCAGGAAATAGTAGGGAAAACAAACCCCTCACTGAGAGGAGAGCAGGTGTCTGCGAAGGGAGCACCCAGGATCACTACTTTTGCAGTGCTTCTCAGTATGACTTCAATACAGGAATGTGAGGGCAAAACCCCACACGGGAGCTATCAGAGGGACTGAGAAGAGAGGCCAAGCCTCCTGCCAGTACCTCAGATAGTGAGTGACCTGGGAGATGTCCGAGGCACACTGCAGCCACAACTGTGTCTACAGTACTGCAGCGTCCAGGTGTGTATGGTGGTGAGGCGTGAGGACTGTACTGGCACAAGGAAGATGCATGAGCAAAGCTTTGCATTTTAACGAACAGCATCAAAGCCATTCTGTCCAGCAGGCACACCACAGGCACGTATTTCCAAAGCTCTTACCAGCAGTAAAAAGGCCTTTGGTGCTCTGACTGATGCTTGAAGGTCTGACAATTGACGAGACCCCTGCAAAACACAAAAACAAAAGGGATACCATGAGAAGCCCAGACAGATGGTTGTCATCTCAGCAGTCCTAAAAAAATCTAAAACTAGCTGGACACTGGTGGTGCATGCCTTTAATTCCAGCACTCGGGAGGCAGAGGCAGGCAGAGCTCTGTGAATTCGAGACCAGCCTGGTCTCCAGAGTGAGTGCCAGGATAGGTTCCTAAGCTACACAGAGAAACCCTGTCTTGAAAAATCAAAAACCAAAAAAAAAAAAAAACCAAAAAACAAAAAACAAAACAAAAAACCCCAAAAACCCCCAAAACCAAAAAACCCTAAAACTAGTTACTATTCACCAGAACTAGTAAAGGAGTGTGCCCCTGCTAGGGAGCGACTGTGAAAGGGGTGTTGAACAGAGGGCTGGGTACTTCGGAGGCCACCTGGGCTCAGGCCCAGCTGTGTGACCACTGGCAAAGGCCAGGGCTGCTGTGCAACCCAGGGGTGGCAGGTGGCCCTCAAAAGTCATCTTAGAAATTTAAAAGCTGCTTACATCTTCTAGTTCTCAGTTCCGAGATTTTTTAAAAAAATTTCTTTTTTTTTTTTTTTTTTTTTTAAATCTAGGAGAAAAGCATCCACTAAAAAAGCAAATGAAGAGAATATGCTAAGACACAGGATACAAGTCCTCCATCACCTCAGGACAGCAGTGACCCAGCAGCAGGCCTGTCCTGGGCGCAGGGGAGTGAGTACATGGGCACACTCAAGAAACTTGGTACAGGTTCCTGAGAGAGGGAGAGGGGAGCCAGCCTCATGTTAATTCCTTAATGTAAACCACATTTCCAATCAATAAATACTGAGGGAAAGCAGGAAAATGGACTAGTTTGAGAGTTGGGGTCATTTTCAGTTTCAATTGTTTCTTCCCTACTGTCCTTTGCTACCCTAGAGAGCAGTAGGTCTCTCAAGAAAAGGGTGAGATTTTTCTATTGTTCTTAGAGACAGAGCCTTGCCTTGCTACTTAGCCTAGGCTGGCCTGAACTCACAATGTAGTCTAAGCTAGTTAAGAACTACTGGCAAATCTCCTGCCCCTGTCTCCTCAGTGATGAGATTACAGGTCTGCCCCACCCACCACACAGATTTCACTCTTTTGATAAACATGAGGGAGGGCCTGGGGTGAACGTGGAGAAACAGGGCCGGAGAGTCATCAGCCGGAGAGTCATCAGCGGGTAGACAGGGTCTGGGACCAGTCACAGAGATGTTGGAGATGTCATCAGTCTCTTTCCTTCTCATACCACAAGGGTCAGAAACATCTTTCAAAAGACATCTAGAAGTTATGTTCTTGAAACCAAAGCACTGCTTCAACTACTAGTGGTGATTTAGGGCCCAGGATCCTGTGAAATTTCCCACTGCTTGCTTCAAGCAAGGGAACACTGAGATTTGGAAAACCCTGAATTGTTCATGTTTTTCTTTTCCCCAGATGAAATCTCTTTTGATCTCGTTAGGCAAGGAGGCTGCTTTCACCACAGCAAGCCCTTGCTTAACACCAAACTCGTGGACACACCTAAGCGCACCACATCACCACAGTCGGGGTCTTGAGCCACTTGCAGCAAGGTTTCTTCCACATCTCTGTTTCTCCCAGGAGGGTCCATGATATGATTGATTTGCTGCTGTAAGGTTCTGGGCAATGTCATTAGCTGAGTGAACTGTCCTTCTGGGCTTTTATCTATCTGGGAAAGAGAGAGAGAGAGATGACGTCTTTGCAAGCGCTCTGAAGTCTAGACACAGTCAGACACATGGCTTCTATTTAAAAATCCCACAAACAAGAGTCTCATACTATGTGGGACTCCCATGCATACATTTGTAATTAAGTAAGGTTTTCCTTCTATCGGAAACACCACACCTACCCCAGGTGGTATAGGAAACTGAGTATTTAAATGGTTAGGATTACAGGTCCCTTCAGAGAGGAGAGCCCTGGTTCTTGAATATTCCATTCTTCATGAGGAAAGAAGAGAAGCCTCTTACACATATTTTATTTTATGCATTGGTGCTTTGACTGCACATAGGTTTGTGTACCACACATGTGCCTAGTTCCTGAAGAGCCCAGAACTGGGTGTCAGAGCCCCTGGAATTAGAGTTACAGACAGTTCTGAGCCACCATGAAGGTGCTGGGAATTGAATCCAGGTCCTCTGCAAGAACAGCTCTTAACCACAGAGCCATCTCTCCAGCTGTAAGAGAAACCTCTTTGGAGGATCAGTTTCTGACTTGCAGTTTACGTTCGACTTGTCTTAAAGAACAGCTAAAGGAGGCGGGGCTGCAGTTAACAAGTCCAGATCAAACCCAGGGCTCAGGTTCTCCTTCCCACTCTGAATGCTGTGAGGGGAAGTAAGTACAAGACAATGGGATCTGAATTTGTGCCCCTGTTCTGGGCCTCATCTATCCGGTGCTGCATTTCACAAATGACTGCAGGGAAGCACTGATGACAAGGGCTCACCTCGCTCTGAATCCTCCAGAACACAGAAGGTGAGTGGTTGTAACTGATCATCGTAACTTAGCTGTCAAAAGTTAGCCCCACTGCTAAGATGAGACCAAACCAGTTCCCTAATAAAGTGAGTGTACTTTGCTTCATAGAATTAAAAATATAAAAACATGAAAGCTACACATGAATGTAGCTGCCTAATTCATGCAGAGGCCGCAACACCTTCACAAATGTTTAGATTTTAGCATCAAAGCAAAGAACAACTTCAGGAGCAGGTGAGATGGCTCAGCATGCTGCCTGGTGACCTGAGTTCCACCCCCAGGATCCATGTCATGGCAGGAAAGAACCAACTCCACAAAGTCATGTGGGACCACACTCACATCATACAAGTTCAGGACCACCCTGGTCTACATAGTGAGACCCTGTCCCAAACAATAACAACAAACAAAAAAGGGAAGTCTCAGGGTGAAGGCATTCATCTGACTTGCTATGTGGATAGGCTGGTCAGAGGTAAAGACCTGGCCTCCTGCCCTGAGTTGGAAGTACTCTAAAGGGCCTCTAGCTCCCAGCAGCCTCACAGAGGCAGATGAGGCCCCTGGGTGCAGGGACACCTGACCTGAGATTGGCACTGGGATTGTTTCCAAGAGCAAACTCTTGGAGGAAAGTTAGAGCTGTCACTGTAGAACACTCTGAGGCTGTTACTCTCTCCCCGTGCCCAAAGCAGTAAGAAAAAGTAAAATCACATCTCAGAGGGAGAAATTACTGCCATCTGTACATAGAGAAAATGTAGGGGTGTGGTGGCCATTTTGTGTACCTTGATTAATTGGCAGTGTTCAATTACTTGGTCAAACACCAGTCCAGATGTCAAGGAGAAGGCATGTTTAAGATGCAATTAACATTTAGCTCAGATGAGTATAAATACAGATGAATTACGTTACTTTTGTTAGCTTAAAAAACTGGTAAGAGAGAGTTGGTGGAGGGAATTGAAGGACGGGAGGGAGAGGGAACTGGGATTAGTATGTAAAATAAGATTTTTTTTAAATTTAAATAAAAATTAAAAAAACTGGTAACAGTAGAAAGTTCATCTGTCAGCTGCAGGGTATAAGAGAAATGTCCACAGTCCCTTGAAGAAGGGAGTCTGCCTTTAGACTCAAGGCTGCAGCGTCAACTCTTCCCTGGGTTACCAGACCCCTAGCCTGCTCTACAGACTGGAAACCTGCTGCCCCACACACAGATTCATGAACTAATAAGCTGGTCTCTTTCCTACCCCACCTCCATCAACCTAACAGTGCCATCTCTCTAGAGAGCCCCAGCCAAAAAAAAAAAAAAAAAAAGTATTGATGGCCTGTCATGTCCCCAGGAAGTCTGGCCTTTACAGGACCTAAACGAATCCTATCTGGTTACAGTACATGACTGTAAACCCAGCAAGCAGAAATCCTGATGAATCTGCAGCACCAGGTACAGTAGAGTATCTGGGGGCAGCTCAGTAGAGCCATGGTTGTATCTGGGGCCATAGACCTGGGGACCAATGGACTGCTTCCATTCCTGCTGGAAAGGAGGACCAGAATCAGCTCACAGCTACTTCAAAGAAACAAGAGTTATACCTTGGGATTTGCCTCAGGGATGGATTCATGTTACAACCCTCGTGATGAGACATCTGAAGGAAACCGGAAACCTGGATATTCTGTTATGTCACGTTTGTCTACAACATCAAAGGCAGAATGTCTTTCCCGTCTTTTTCTTTAAATAAATTACATTAGTTATTTATGGATATGGGTGCATATACCATGCTGGGCATGCAGAGGCCAGAGACCACTTGTGGAGTCAGGCTTTGAAGAAGTCTTTATCCTCTGAGCCATTCTACCAGCCTAATCAATTAAATAGCATTAATGGTCTAATGAATTGAACAGACAGTTCTCGAAAGACCCGGCTTTACCTTAACTCCTGGGTACTACCTAAAGGACTCTAAGTCAATACACCATGGGAACCTTTGGCATAGCCATCTTATTGCCACACTATTCACAACAGTCAGGAAACAGAAACAGCCTTGTTGTTTGTTCAGCAACAGATGACTGGATGAAGAAAGTATGGTGCAGGGCTGGGAATTAGGCCCAGCATGCAGAAAGCCCCTCGTTCAAGCTCTAGCCAGCCCTATATGGGCATGGTGGCACATGCTTGAATTCTGACACTCAGGAGAATCAGGAACTTAGGATCATCCTTGGCTTATATATGGATTTGAAGAACAGCCTGGGCTGCCATTGGCTGTCTAAAATAATTAAAAAGAAAATGTGGCACGGATATACAATGGAAGTGTAAAGAAAAATGAAATCATAGTAACTGCAGGAAAACGGACGGGGCTGAACATAAAGGAAATAAGGTGGCCACCCCAGACAAGAGGGCATCTTCAGGAAGAGGACGTAGGGAGGGTAATGGAATACATTCAATCAAAAGCAGAATGGTGACTGACTAGGGGACAAAAGAGAACCGGCCAGAGTGGGCCAGGGCACTCAGAGGGTGGGAGGTGAAGGAGAACAAAGTGTAAGGACATACATGCATGAAAATGTCAATGAAGCGTGTTACTCTTGTTAGCTTAAAAAACTGATAACAGTAAAAAGACAGTTCTGGCCTTTAATTCTAGCTTTTTGGAGGGCTGAGGTAGGACGATTGCCAGGTTCAAGGCTTTCCAGGGCAGTAGAATGAGTTCAAAACCATCCTGGGCAACTTAGAAAGATTGTGCCTCAAGGGAAGAAGTACTAAGGGGGGTTGGATGTAGCTCAGTGGTAGAATACTTGCCTGGTATGTTGGAGGCACAAGTTCAATTACTACCATCTCAGAAAACATAAATAAATAATGAACAGATAAGTACTAGCTCTTCCTTTGGTAGTGTAGTAGTCTGGGCTCGCACAACTCACCTCTAGTCGGCCTTGCTGCATTTTATACACCACCTGGGGGTCCTCCTGTAATATGTTCCCATAGAGCTCTCGGAAATGGGCTACGTTGGGCTTCACGATGTTCAAGACTTTTGCTTTTTCCTCGCCAATCACCATGCGAAAGTCACCTAGTTAAAACAACCAGAAAAGTCAGTCTTGGAGAAGAATTCACACCCTGGTCCACAAACAACAACCATGGTTGACTGGAGCAGCATGGCAGGATACCTGAGCACAGCACCTTCTTTTTTAAAATGGCCATCACAGTACACAAAGAATTTGAGAGTTTGGGGAAAAAGAGCCTCTGGAGTCACAGAGCCCTGTATGTCAGATATTGCTCCTCTCATGTAAGGTCACTGGCCTGGCCATGAGATCATGTTTTCCCACTAAGGAAAAGCCCTGTCTATGGCCAGTTGCTGACTGTTACTTTAGGTTCCCAGCACCCACCTGACAGTTCACAACCAACCTCCTGTGACTCCAGATCTGGTGGATTCGACACCATCTCTCGCCTCTGAGAGTGCTGCATGCACATAAAGAGAAGACACACATGCAGGCAAAACACTCACATAAAACAACCTTTTTGTTTGTTTGTTTTGAGACAGGGTTTCTCTGTGTAACAGTCCTGGAACTCACTCTGTAGACTAGGCTGGCCTTGAACTCACAAAGATCCTCCTGCCTCTGTCTCCAGAATGCTGGATTAAAGGTGTGCCCCACCAACGCCTGGCCCACATAAAACAATCTTTAAAAATTTCAAGTGGAAGCTAGGTGGTGGTGGTGCACACCTTTAGTCTGAGAGTTCTAGACCAACCTGGTCTACAGAATGAGTTCCAGGAAGTCTCCAAAGCCACAGAGAAACCCTGTCTTGAAAAAAATAATTTTTTTTTTTCAAGTGAAAAGAAATGAAGGATGTAACATTTGCAACTAGATTAATTTCGGGCAATATAATTACTCTGAAGGAAAAAGAACAACAACTTCTATTTTGTTTACTTTTGGTTTTTTGAGTCTGGGTCTCATATAAGCCCAGGTTGACCTAGAACTTGCTATGTAGCCCAAGTTGGCCTTCAGATCTTGATGCCCCTGCTCTGCTGGGGTTCTAGGTGCATGCCAGCAGACCCACTGGAGCAACTTCTGAAGCAAATGAGAAGTACTCCTCTGCCACTGAGGAGGGTCAGCCAGAGGGGAAAGAACAGTAAAATGGACCACCAGGGTGAATGCAAGAGGCGGGTGGGGTGAGGAGGGTATGTGCCTCAGGGGTGGAGCACTTTCCCGGCTGGCACAGGGCTCTGGGATACATCCTGATACTGCCAGGGTGAAGGACTCCCAGGTGAAGTGCCATGAGAGTGATGTGCTGAAGCCCTCACTGGGCAGACAGTGCCACAGCTGCCAAAGAGGCCCTTGGGAGTAGGACGGAGAACCTGTCACTCAAAAGAGGTCACTTCTGGGGGTAAAGAGAGCACTGTGGTAATTATATCAGAACCTATATTACCTTTGCCAATTTCTTTTCTTGGAGGGAGGATTCTAAGAGGCTATGGCCTAACAGTGGAATTTCCTTGAGTAAACTGTTGGCTTGTTAGGGAAAAGTAAAATTACAAAGCTGTCTGCAATAGAACGAGTGTGGCGTGGCCCCTCCCAGGTTCATGTTGGGGTTATAATCTCTACTGTGAGGAAAAGAGTGTGGGAAACTATCTGACGGTAGTCTTTGGAGTGACCAAGATTAGACAAGGTCCTCGTGGTGGAGTCTCCAGGACTGGGCACGGGTGGTCTCTGAGGAATACTGAGCAGATGGTAGTTATAAACCTGCTCTCTTCCCATGTGCTGTCTTGACACGCTGCCCGCAAGAAAGTCACCAGGTGAGGCCCTCTGACCTTGTTCAGGACAGGAAGTCCAAACTTCCTTCCTTAGTAACTGCCCAGTATGTGGTACTACACCACTAGCAACAGAAAATAGACTAAGCCAATGTACTGCAGTGAGGAATAAGATGCGTTTTAAGCATCAAAGGACCAACTTACACTATAATATGATATGATGGACATGCAGCCAAGGAGGGCGAGCCTCAGAAAAACAGCCTTCTAAAGAGTCTGTGGAAGCTGATCTTGGTACAGACAAAGTCTGCCTAGTCAAGTCTCTATAAGCTGCCTACATCTGGGTGTGTTTGCTTTTTCATTACTATTTACAGGGAAAGAGAGTTATACAGTAAATGCCAAGGGACATGCTAATGAGGGTGTAAAGAAATGAGTTGTTTCAATACTGCTGCGGACAAAACCCCATCCCTGGAAAGCAAGCCTGAAGATACCAGCAGTGGAAATTAGGTGATGGTATCTACTGAGTACCTGGCAGGTAGTGGTGCCATTCCAATGCTTGTGTTGTCTCGTCTCATCTATAGTGCATCTTCTCAGGCAGAGAATATTCAATTCCCATGGGGTATGCACAGCAACACAAGACACAAAGATTAGGTCATGTGGCCCGAGATTTTCCAGGGTGCAAATTAACATGCTACGAGTAACATACAAAAACAAAACAAAACAAAACAAACAAACAAAAACCTGTTTATTAGACAGGGGATAGCTCAGTGGCTAAGTGTTTGCCTAACTTACACAGGCCCTAAGGGTTTAGGCATGATTCTCCCACCCCATACAAAAGCCCATGTGTTGCAGGCTTGGTCTCAGCTAGTGGTGCTACTGAGAGGGCCCTGGATTGTAAGGGTGCTAACATTATCAATGGGTTATCCTACTCATGGGCTCACATTTCAGTGGGCTACTCAAGAGGCATGTCTTGAAGGGCATATCTTGTCTCTCTGACTCCTGGTTGCCACGAAGCTTTCCCTCACCATGACTTCCTTCGATGCTGCTGCCTAACCATAGGCTTAAAAGCAACGGAGTAAGCAGACCATGAACAGAAACATTTACAGCCAAGAGCCAAGATATTTCTTTCTATCTTTGCTTATTCTGCCTCATTAATGAAAAGTAAAAGTATACTTGTTCAATCCTCAGTTCCCCCAATTCCAACAGTTCATTATAGCATTGTTTATAAGAAACGGCTCAAGCATCAAGCCATACACTATGATGGTACACACCCATGCATTACCACTAAAAAGTAGTCCTCCTACATAGCAAGATAGAAAATCATATAATGGTTGGTAGAAACTGAGTAAAAAAAAAAAACAAAAAAAAAACAAAAACAAAAAAAAACAAACAAAAAAAAAACCCATAAAACAAGGGGCTGGCAAGATGGCTCAACCGTTAAGAGTGCTTGCTGCTCTTATACAGGACAGGGTTTGGATCTCAGCACCCACTTGGTGGCTCAAAACTGACTGGTACTCCAAGAGGATCTGACATCCTCTTCTGGCCTCTGCAGGTACCAGGCATGCACACAGCACACACACATATACATGCAGGCAAACACTCAGTATACACATAAAATTTAAAAATCTTTAAAATATATATACAAAGCAAGACAATGGTATGATCTAAACTGAAGGCAGTGGCAGAGAGCTTTCGTACAATCAGTAAGGCCCTGCTTTCTATCCTTAGCACTACATATGCACACAAGAATGTTTTTCAATTGTTTAATTATGTCCCTGTGTATGTGTGTGTGTGGGGGGGGGAGGGGCACTCATGTCATAGAATGCATGTGAAGGTCAGAGAGCAATTTTTGGAAGTCGGTAGGACTCTCTTGTTTCTGCACACCAGGTTAGTAGGCCCTGGGTTCCGGCTCCCATTTTACTAAGGAACTCTGGGATTACAGATGCAGGCATTTTTAGAGGGTTTCTGGGATGGACTCAGGTGGCCAGGCTCTTGAGGCAAGTGCTTTAACCGTTAAGATCTCACCAGCCCTGTAATAGAACATGTGTACAAGCTTATCCGTGCTTTCTCATGTAGTGTCAAAGCTCTATGAAGCAGGTGCTATTACCATTCCCAGTTAGATAGATGAAGGGTCTGGGATGCCGAGAAAATGCTCCTCTCAGCATCAGGGTACCTATGGCTGAGGCAACTATTTCCCTCTACTGTAATTTCCCTCACTTCTGCCACAATGATATATTCCAACATTTTAAAATGCACAGGACAAACAGTTGTAATGATTTGTCAAGTTGAGTGGATGGTGGTTAGGTCAGTGTCCAAGTGTGTAAACCTTATTATGCCTTTTTAATGTGTATGGGCACATGCATGTACATGAATGTGGAAGCTGATTGGCTATTGTCCTTAACTGCTCTCCAACTTATTTACTGAGGCAGGGTCTCTCACTGAACCTGGAGCTTATCAGTTTTAGATAGTTCATCTTGTCGGTTATCCTGATTTGGAATCTGTGCTTCCCAAATGCTGGGATTTCAGGCAGCTACCACACCTGCCTGTCTTTTTAGGCGTGGGCTCTGAGGATCCAAACTCTGGTCCTAATGCTTGCTCATCAAGCACTTTACCCACTGAGCCATCTCAGCTAACTTCTGTATGCTTTTATGACAATAAAGCAACAACAAAACATACCGGGGCTGAAAAGTTGGCTCAGTGGCTAAGAACACTGGCTGCATTTCCAGAAGACCAGGGTTCCATTCCCAGAATCCACATGATGGCTCACAACTATCTGAAACACCAATCCCAGGTAATCCAATGCCCTCTTCTGGCCTCTCAGGGCATAGATATACATGCAGGCAAACACCTACACACACAAAACATGAAAAACAAAAATACAAAGACAAACATTCAATATAAAATATGAGATTGGACTCTCAATCAGCATAGGACTGAAATGTCACCAGACTCTGAGTCCAAGAGTCTAGAAGGCAGACACTGAGTATAAGACCAGCTTGTGTCATCCCTTCCCTTTCTACGGGACCTGCAAACTCAAGTTCTTATGTCTGAGGCAGTTGCTTTCTAACAGAAGGACTGTACTTGATCAAAGTGTAGAAGCAAACTAACCTAACCCTCCCACAAAATGACAGTTGTGACTAAAGACTTCAGGAAACTCTGGACCCTTGGTGACTTGTAAACCAACTGGTGCAGGCCAGGTGCATTGACAGCCATCCACTGAGCTGAATTCTCCCACTACAGTGAGAGAAATGGTGGTTCCTCATTTCTTCAGAACAGAATGAGCAAAACAATGGGAAAAGCACAAAACCACATCTGAGGGTTAAGAGTTT